CAGGGTTTATATTTTTAAATCAGGGTCCCTGATTTCCAGCTTCAGCCGTTTCCAGCATCAGCCGCGACATTAATTTTTTTAATAAATTTATTATATAAAGTATAATTTTTTAAACAAAATTTTTTGTCTTTATATTATAAAATACATATATAAATTTTTATATATTTTAAATAATTTAATAAAAATTTTTATTAGTAATAAATAATTATTAAAAAATATCATAATTTTCTGCTAGTACTATATATAAAAAATATAAAACTAATTAGATAAATTGATCATTATAATAAATTCTTTAAATACCAGCAATTTATTAAATTTAGTTTATATAAGTTAACTTAAAATAACTATTAACTTAAATTCAAAGCTTATCAACTCTAATTGTTTGCATTTTTAAAATCAAATTATATATTTATATAATATAGTATATAAAATGTTAAAAATTTTTATAAAAAAATATTTTATTACAGTTACCCTGGTAAATCACACTTTTGGGCTAAAAAAGATGATTATAATAAGGTTGTACTTAAAAAAGTCAAATTAATTAATATATTAAAGTGATAAGTATAATTTTATAGCAAAAATTTGAGAGAATTACTATTATATTTATATAATATTAAATAATAAAAGTTTTTAGTAATATATAAAATAATATAATTATAAAAATAAAAATACCAATAAATCACAATCTGCTAAACTAATTTTAATAATTCTACTACTATTAGAACCGAATTAACTTGCTTTAAAATATTTGTTAAAAACTCAAGAAAGGTTTACTTGGTATAAGCAAACCTTCATTATAAGCCAACTTATTCTACTTCTATAGAAAGCTATATTAACTCCAATATTATTAAATTTTATTTTTTGTACCTTTAACTATGTTTTATATCTTAATATATTTTTAATAGCTAGGACCTAATAAATATCCGAATATAATTCCATTCAATTATATATATTATATTGCTAATATTTTTGCCCTTTTTTTTAGAAAATTACAGGATTATTGTAAATTTTGGCATATTTGCCTAATGCCCAAATTGTAAAAATAAATTTATAATTTGGATAACTAATTGCACAATTCTTGTTAAATACTCCTTCTATAGCTTCTTGCTTCCATTCACCTGTCGGGCATTGCCGTGAAGCGATCAGCTATAAACAAGGCGGTTTTGATTAAGATATAAGTACTAATTTCATTATATAATAGGATAAGAATAACTTGAATCATCGATATATACCTGTATACCACGTTTAATTGGTTTCTCATTTGGATATTTACCTGCCATTAAAGCAAGCAATGCATAAGCAGTATTTACAACTTGTGAGTTTTCATGATGTATATAAGACATTTCTTCACATGACTACTTATAAAGCAAATAAATAAATAATCTTGAATATTAATAAATAAATAAAAACTTTTAAATATAATTATATAAACCTTATAGGATTCACCCCAACCACCATCATCCTTTTGTTTAGAAATCAAGAAGTCACATCCCTTTCTAACTACCTCGCTAATTGACAAAATCATTTAGTCAATTGATTTATTTCCATGACGCAAGATTAATTACTATGTTTAAGAAATACATATAATACCTGTTTTCATATGTTTCACCAAAATTTTCAAGACATTGAAGAACTAACATGGCAGCATATGTGTAACAAATAGCCCAAGAGCCATACCAACCTCCATTCTCATCTTGAGAATTATATAGGTATACAATTGCTTTTTTGGAAATTTGCCTAGCAACAAAGTAAAAATTAAATATATAAAATAATTATAAAAATAAATTTTATAAAAAAATTATTACTTAATTTCATCAGCCCTATAATCAGGATACCATTTCTGGAACGTATTTAGAGCTGTTAAGACACAAGCTGTACATTCTGGATAACTATATTCAATCATAATATTTCCAAAAACTTCTGCAGGATTTAACCATTCGAGAATTTTTGGGCCTCTAGTACGCTCATAACTCGCAAATCCTCCATCAGTATTTTGCATAGATAGTAATATATCAACGGTTTTACAAAATCGTTCTTTAGATACTAAATCTGGCGTGTAACTAATTTTTTTACCACAAATCAAAAATAAATAAGCTTTTTCAATAGTTTGTTTCATATATCAAATTTTGAGAAAACATACCCAAGATTTTTTTGAAGATTAAGTACAGCTTTGATACCTAAACTAGAACAATCTGAAACATTGTATCCCTGATCACGAGTACTAAAACCCCAAGCACCTAATGTTTTATCACGATAACATCTTTCATTATCGTTGTGATTCTTTTTTATTTGTGCATCGTCTAAAAATTCGAGTGCATGTATCATTGATTGGTGATTTGAAGGATCATCTGCCAGTCCTATTAATAAGAACAAGTTTAAATAATTGAGCATCCAAATTTGATACAACGTAATTACTACCTGTTTCAATTACGGCAAGGGCTGTAAGCGCAGTGTCCCAAACTTGAGTACCATTTGTACCACTCATCATCATTCCTTCTGGACCTAGCCTAAACAAATAATAACCTTTAATATCAACTTAAGAATAAAATCTAAATATAACTTAAAGAACTAAGATTTTTATACCACATATAATCAATTAATCTTTCTTTAGCAAGCTTGAATGCTTTAGAATCTGGCCCTTCCTCGTAGTATGTACAAAGGACATGTATTACCTTATTAACCTAACAATTTAAAAGAATTATCAATCTTGGAATTGTGAATAAAACAAAACAAAAATAACAATGTAAAAAAAGCCTATGTTTACAGGTGCAATATCAAGAAAATCCGTATTTTCATCTTCATATTTAATTAATTCATAACTCTCTTGAAGAGAAATATCACGAATTCCAAGAAAATTAGGAAGCTTTTCATAAATATTTAATATAACTAAAATAACAATGAATTAATCTTCAATAATAATTACTGAAGAACGAACAAATTATAAAAAGTTAAATATACAATTGCAAAATTTTAATATTTTGGTATGCGGAGCATAAAGGTCAATTTCAGCAATATTATTTCGGGCTTTAGACCAATTAATTGTCTCAAATGGTTGAACATATAATTCTTGCCTAAGTTGTTCGATTAATGGAGTAACTTCGGCAGTTATTCTACGTCCATAGCAGTATCCCATTGGGAGGTATACTGCACGAGTATGAACCCAAAAACGACCTGGATGAAACGGTACAGAGTATGGAAGGAGCCTTTTTTCATTTATTAAAAGAAAGTAAGGATGCAATTAAAAAAAAAAAAAAAGGAAAAATTTTTTTGAGAAAATCACCATAGTTCTGGTGGAATTGGATTAAGCCCTTCCCAGTCATACACATTTAAGCATGCTAGCCAAAATTTTCCCCATGAAGGCGCACCAATTGCACCTCCTATTAAGTCCCCGAAATTTTGCACATAATTAATATGAATTCTTGCAAGAATAATAAATCAACATTAAACCACTTACCAAGTTTGTGCAAAGTTGCTCTACTTTTTAACATTACCGGATGATCGGGATCAAGACCTAAGATACGAAGCGCAACATAATTCAAGGCAGTTCCAAATACCGTTGAATGATGTTCAATATGCCTAAACCAAAATTAAAATTGTGACTTTCTCAACTTAACAAATCTAAAAGTAAAAAGGATGATATCACAGAAGACAGAAGGCAGAAAATGAACTTACAACCCCCATCCACCATCAACAGGATTTGCTTTGTTTACCACATATCGAATAATTTCAATTCTCCAAGATTCCGGGATAGGAATATGTGTAATATACATTGTGATAATAAGTCCTGGTATCAAAAACATTGGCCCACCATATTCACCTGCCCAATGACCATCAGAAGTTTGTAATTGTTTAAAAAATTCGAATCCATTTCGGGCTGCTTCGAAAGCTGTTTTCGGTTTTTCAAATGTTTTCGATTCCTTTTTATATTATATTATTTTTAAATAAGGAATAGAAATGGTATTGATGAAAAATGCTATTTTTTCGACTAGCATCCGGGTACAAATTTATATAAAAAAAAAACTTACAAAAGGTAATCCAATCCAATACTTTTCAATGCAAGTTTGAGGCCAATTTTTAGCCTCATTCTCATCATCTAAATAATGCCATGTATGTCTACCATGTTCAACTTTTAGTCGCCATCTATTTAAGACTGTACTTTTTATATCATTATGAATTATTGGTTTTATTTTAGATGAATACATTTTTGACAAATTCGAATTTTTAAAGTTTGTCTTGTTTTTCTTTTTTTTTAATCCTCTCAAGCGGGACGCGCTATGTCATACAAAATTTTTAAAGTTAAGAAAATATGCAGACAGCCAGATAAAATTTATATACCGAGTTTTATAGTTGTTAACTAGGTTGTTTCACTATTGAAACGAAAGTCTCATCGAACTTTAATATAGGTACACCGATTAGTATGATTTTTGGAGCTTGGATCGAAAGATCGTTTGTCTATTTTAGTATGAAATAAGACCCTAATAAGAGATCTAAGAATGAATTGCCCCTTAAAATTCAAGGGAATTGTGACGGATTTAGAGATCTAATTATGACTTAACATATGGGAGTTGGATTATCTTGCTTTAAATGGGGGTAATTACGGCTAAAATTAGTCTCAAAATTAGATCTTGGAAGATTCTGTTCATTTAAACGACGACTACTTCACCTACAACTTGAATTACTGACAATTAATTCACCGACAGTTTATTTCACCGATAGTCTTTTCACCGACAAAATAATTCTGGTCATTGTCGTTAGTAGTGCTCCGATCGGGTCAACCCGAACAACCCGAAACAAACCCGATAATAATAGATTTACTATATGGGTCATGAC